AGCCAGCTAGTGTTCGTAAGCTCCGTGAGTTCATCGGCTTCGTCACGTTCTATCACCGATTTCAGCCACATCTTGCTGCTAAGCTCGCACCTCTGCACGCTATGCTTGAGAAACGCCACCGCACCAAAGGCGCGCTCGTCTGGTCCGACTCGGCCCTCGCTGCTTTCAATGATGTCAAAGCTGCGTTCACTGATGCCATCACACTTCACCATCCTCGCCCGGATGCCGCCTACAGCTTGATGGTCGACGCTTCAGACATTGCTGTTGGTGCCGTCCTCCAACAAGAGCTAGATGGTGAGTGTTATCCTGTTGCCTTCTTTTCACGCAAGTTAAAGCCTGCTGAGACACGCTACAGCACCTTCTGTCGAGAGCTCCTCGCTATTTACCTAGCCATTAAGCATTTCCGACACTTCCTGGAAGGGCGTGTCTTCCATGTGTGCACCGATCACAAGCCTCTGACACATGCCATCCACAGCCGTTCACAGACCCACAGCCCGCGTCAACAGCGCCATTTGTCGTACATTGCTGAGTTCACGACAGATATTCGTCATGTCAAGGGTTCTCAGAATGCTGCCGCTGATGCACTGTCACGATGCCACCTACCCGATGAGCCCGTCTCTGCCATCACTGCCATTGACACAGCTTCCTTTGCCGCCGCTCAACAAGATGATCCAGACTTGCCCAGTCCTGGTAAGGATCCATCCACTTCGCTATGCTGGCAATCTATAGCTCTGCCCATGACTGATCACTCGCTCATCTGTGACACCTCTACTGCGTCTGCCCGCCCGTATGTACCTGCCAAGCTGCGCCGTGCTGTTTTCAATTCGCTTCACGGCCTCTCCCACCCCGGTACCCGCGCTACCAGGCACCTGATTACAGCTCGCTACGTCTGGCCCGCGATGAACAAGGATATTAGTGAGTGGTGTCGTTCCTGCCACGCTTGTCAGCAGTCTAAAGTTCAGCGCCACACCACATCTCCCGTGAGTGCATTCAAGCAACCTGATGCCCGTTTCTCCCATGTCCATGTCGACATCGTAGGCCCGCTTCCATCTTCTAGTGAGTCTCGCTACCTCTTGACGATGGTAGATCGCTTTACTCGCTGGCCCGAAGCAGTACCTATTCCCGACATTACAGCCGAAACCGTCGCTCGCCAGTTTGTTGCCACCTGGGTCGCCCGATTTGGTGTTCCCACTGTGCTCACAACCGACCGAGGTGCCCAATTTGAGTCATCCCTGTGGTCATCGCTCATGTCACTACTTGGCACATCTCGCATTCGTACAACGGCTTACCACCCTGCTGCCAACGGCATGGTAGAGCGCTTTCACAGACAACTGAAAGCTGCACTCCGAGCTTCCGACAATCCACAGCGCTGGACGGAACATCTGCCACTAGTCCTGCTCGGCATTCGCTCCTCCCTGAAGGCTGACCTCAACTGCTCAGTTGCAGAAATGGTCTACGGTTGCCACCTCCGCCTGCCAAGTGATTTCCTCACTGACGAGCCTGAGCCATTTCCGGATCCGACGTCCTATGTCAGCCGCCTCAAACAAGCCATGTCCGAGCTCCGCCCTACACAACCCCGCAAGCCACCCACCCAGCATCCGTTCATTCCAGCTGACCTCTCGACATGCTCTCATGTCTTCATTCGCACAGATGCAACACGAACGCCCCTCCACCGTCCTTACACTGGTCCACACCGAGTCCTGGAACGTCATGATAAGTACTTCCGCCTCGACCTCAACGGCCGCTCCGACACAGTATCCATCGACCGACTCAAACCCGCATTCCATGACAACCAGTCTGTCGACCATTGCCATCCGACCAAGCCGACGCCATCGCTCGCATTCGACGTGCCTCCGCCACGCCAAACACGAGCTGGTCGTCAAGTCAGATTTCCCGCCTATTTCTGACACTCTCTCGCTTATCCCATTTGCTTGCTCTCACTTTATCGCGCTAGTTATCGCTCATTACTCATTCACTAGGAGGGGAGCTCTGTAGCGTCTCTGACGTTCTCGCATCATGACATCATCATTTGTTTGCATGTACACGTCATATTTTCCTCATCATCACAAACACTGATTCACCATACTCTCGCACACATTGTAATACCTACTACACGTACTTCGCTACCATAATAATTACGTAATGTTTGGCTAGCATAGTTCCAATACACATTACGACATCTTTTGATGTTACGCACTCCTCGCCTACAACGCTATTGTAGAAAAGTAGTCTTTACTCATCTCTTGTAAGTTCTGTTTGCATCCAAACACTTCTTCCAAACAGCACACGTCAGATATCTAACAAAACAACAAACTACATTGCACAGTCTTCTATCACAATCTCTTTCCTATATAAACCTCCTTTCTCTTCACTTTCTTCATGACATTTAGTGTTCGCCAGTCTTGTAAAGATCTTGGAAACTAACACTCGTTGCACTGTATCTAGACTACTAAAAGCATTCAATGATTATTTTCAAAACGAAACTCCATCAAACCCACCCACCCACAAACGAAAACATTTCGTTTTGAAAATATTATTGGTAACCTTGGACGGCCCCTAAAAAGCAGAAAATTTCGGTGGTGTAATATTTTCGGTAAGTATTCGCCAAAATCGGCGGTTCGGTAGCGGGAAATTTTCGGTAAAACCCGTTCTCCGGGTAGGCGTACTAGTACTACATGTACATGAGTATCGGTTGTACCGAAAATTTCGGTGCGTTTTATTTTCGGTAAAAATTGTCGGCACCGAAGTTACCGAAAATAAAACACCACCGAAAATTTCTGCTTTTACAGTATTTCGCGTACGGGAAAGTCGTCGCGCGATGGCTTTCTCGTACGCGACATCGGCACAAAGCAGACCGCTGACGGGGTCACGTGTCAAAAAAGTATCAACAGCGTATCGACAAAGTGTCAACCACGTGTATAGCGGTACACTCAGCGGTAATTCTCGTGCCACAAAACTGGAACATCGAGTACGAGCGTACTCGTACTACCAAGAGTACATAAATATGTACTCTTGGTACTACCAAGATCTTTTAGAGTACATAACTAACTTCATAAGTAGTAGTAGTAGTAGTAGTAGTAGTAGTAGTAGTAGTAGTAGTAGTAGTAGTAGTAGTAGTAGAATTTTTGATAGGGAAGGCCCTACAGACGTTGCCGTCTTGTTACAGGGAATCATAACCCCGGGTTATGTACTCTTGGTACTACCAGTATGGAAAGGCTTCAGTTCGAACGCACCTACATTGATGTACGGGTATTCAACCCCATGCGTCTTCCAACCGTTCCAACTCACTTGCTGCTACCTACATGTATGTCCGTCATGAAAAGGCTAAGCGTCGTGCGTATGAGCAGCGCCTGAGGGAGGTGGAGCATTCCAGCTTTGTCCCCGCCATCTTCTCTACCACCGGAGGCATGGGAAAGCATGGTGCTTCGCTCTACAAACGCATCGCCTCTCTCCTCGCTGCCAAGACTGGGGAGCCATACAGCATCACCCTAGCTGCCATCCGCTGCCAGATTGGCTTTGCACTGGTCCGTTCAGCGCTGATGTGCTTGCGTGGTGCACGCAAGGCATTCTTACCAGCAATGCCAATGGCGCATGGCCTCAGACTCGGCAGCGCTTGTTGTTGCTGAAGCAAGAATCTAAGCTTGATTATCTGTCAAGTGTCATTAAAGGGGAAGTATACCCTAAAATCAAATTTTCACCAGTTGTAGTCTTCTGGGTGCTGAGTCGAATGGTCTTGGTCCGAGGAAGCTGCGACGCTCCCTTCCTACTTGAATCCCAATCGAACTCGCGCACTTCCACCGAAACTGGGTGACTGCGCCCTACTAGATGGGGATTTGTATGCAAAATGTCACTAAAAGCGCCATTTCGTTCTTATAAAAGCACGGATGACCGCGATTGGCCCATATGTTGTAGTCTTTTGGACGCTGAGTCGACTGGTTTTGGTCCGAAAAGGCTGCGATGCAGCGTTCCTCCTTTATTCCCAATCGAACATGGTTGAACAAGCGGTCACGTGCTCCTGGGTGCCCAAATCACCTGGTCACCGCGCCAGCAGGTGACAACTTTCACACCAAGGTTCAACTCGAGTTCAACTCGAGTGACAGGACTGCACCCAAAAAAGGTCAAACAGGCTAGTAAGTTGTACCCTGCAGGCACGGTGACCAGCTGACTGGTGTACGCAGGAGCACGTGACCGCTTGTTCAACCATGTTCGATTGGGAATAAAGGAGGAACGCTGCATCGCAGCCTTTTCGGACCAAAACCAGTCGACTCAGCGTCCAAAAGACTACAACATATGGGCCAATCGCGGTCATCCGTGCTTTTATAAGAACGAAATGGCGCTTTTAGTGACATTTTGCATACAAATCCCCATCTAGTAGGGCGCAGTCACCCAGTTTCGGTGGAAGTGCGCGAGTTCGATTGGGATTCAAGTAGGAAGGGAGCGTCGCAGCTTCCTCGGACCAAGACCATTCGACTCAGCACCCAGAAGACTACAACTGGTGAAAATTTGATTTTAGGGTATACTTCCCCTTTAATGACATTGTACATGATCATCACCGCGTACCGTACCGGTGCACCGCGTGCGCTCGATCTAATCATTGATTGTCTTTATTAATTTTTATGTTTTGCCCGTACAAGAGGCATTTAAAAAAAAAAAAAACCCAAAAAAAGACAGGAAGCCTTTCCAGCATCTCAAGAGTACTCGTACATAAGTCATAACCCCCGGGGGACGCGGGGGTTATGTACTCTTTTTTTTTTTTTTTTTTTTTTTTACCAGGCGTGCACGCGTGGGCCATCCCCTGATTTCATAGGTGCCAAACATTTTTACGTTTTTCAAAAAATAAATCTCTCCATCACTGTCAAATATACTAGCACATGTGACAGCTAGCACGTGCTATTTGCATTACGTCATTTCGAACTCGGCATAGTGACGTAGGTTTGCATGATTGTGAACAAGCAATCAAAAACATTTTGAAAATTTTAATAATTCAAAACCAGACTTTGCATTTTGCGTTTGCGAGAGGATAGTTATGAGTTTGTGGAACAATGGCCATTGCAGGCTGAGATGGTGTATGCTCCATATTGCTCATGGTAGTTTGCATTTGCAGTCCCGTGTTTTCGTGTCCTTGCGCGTTGTCTCGATTCTGGCGAGGTGATGATGATGACGACGACGACGACAGCGTTCGACAACAACCATCATGGGGCAAACCGCAAGCAAAGAACAGTTGATTGATCTGCTCAGCGACGAGCTGCGCTTAGGCGTTGGTTGTGTCGGGGAATGCAACGAGAAGGAGAACACCGTGCTGTGCCTGGTAAGGGAGTTGTACAGGTCGTTCAGTTCAATTCATTGAATTCATTGCACTGAGTACGTGTGGTACTGTAGTACTGTACTGTTCACCTTCATACCAGGGAGTAGTACAATAGCCTGAAAAAAAATAAAAAAATAAAAATAGGTATTGACTATTGTACTACTCCCTGCTTCAAACAACATCAGGGTCACATGATAATAATTAATTTAGCCATATTTAAAAGTGGACTTTGTTTTTAGAAAGACAATGCTGTAGTGAATCACAAGACTTGATAGACAGATAATATAATATGCAATGAGATGTAGGACATAGTGAAATATGGAAGGTGGTGGAAGGCGAATTGAAGTGGCATTCATTTTTCGAACCAATGTATATCGCCGTTCACCGTACTATCGCCGCCGTCACCCTGTTTCACACACCCACACACACACGCACACACACACACACACACACACACACACACACACATACACACACATACACACACACACACGTCACCCTGGTTCACACACACACACACACACACACACACACACACACACACACACACACACACACACACACACACACACACACACACACACACACACACACACACACACACACACACACACACACACACACACAGAGGATACATTGTACACCGCTGCCAACTGAAAACCGACCACTGAGCGGTGCGTTCACATAATTCTAGCGGTCTCTTATTTCGTTGTCTTACAATCCCGTGTTGGGCCTTTGCGATGTGAGCGCACCGCTCAGGGGGTCGGATTTCAGTTTCCAGCGCTGTATGTAGCCTAGGGTATACAGTGGCTGTAGTGCACACCTCCAGTGTTGGTCACGTACAGACGACGCAATCAAAGTCGACCTCGTCCAATGTAAACTTAGGGTGCGTTTGGTTGGTACGATCTAGAACAGGATCGAACAGCTGGTGCACATGGAGCAGCCTCATGCCAACCAAACGCTACTCCAGAAACAGAGCACATTTTTGTGGAAAAATGTGCCAAACTTGGTGCATTCTTCAAAATGTGTATGGATCACCATGGTCACTTTGTACGGTACGACGAGTCCAACCCAAAAGCGTATGCACGTGATCATTTGGGAACAAAATCGATGTTCCCGCCAGGTTTCACTGTGAAAAAGTGAAACTGCTCGGTCTGCTCCGGCCTCGAGGCCGGAGCAAGCAGAACATGTTCTGGCCGACCCAGAACAGGTGCAGTCCCAACCAAACGCGCTGTTCTGGTGAATCCTGTTCTAGTTCGTACCAACCAAACGCGCCCCTACTCTCCAGCTCAGTGAGGTCTTCATCCAGTGGCAGGGGCACTTTGGTCGTCCAGACTCTCCAGCTCAGTGAGGTCTTCATCCAGTGGCGGGGGCACTTTTGTCGTCCAGACTCTCCAGCTCAGTGAGGTCTTCATCCAGTGGCGGGGCACTTTGGTCGTCCAGACTCTCCAGCTCAGTGAGGTCTTCATCCAGTAGCGGGGGCACTTTGGCCATCCAGACTCTCCAGCTCAGTGAGGTCTTCATCCAGTGGCGGGGCACTTTGGTCGTCCAGACTCTCCAGCTCAGTGAGGTCTTCATCCAGTGGTGGGGGCACTTTGGTCGTCCAGACTCTCCAGCTCAGTGAGGTCTTCATCCAGTGGCACATCCACGGGTGGGGGGGGGGGGGGGGGGGGCACTTTGGTCGGCCAGACTCTCCAGCTCAGTGAGGTCTTCATCCAGTAGCAGGGACACTTTGGTTGTCCAGACTCTCCAGCTCAGTGAGGTCTTCATCCAGTGGCACATCCATGGCAGCGGCTGCATCGGCAACTGGAGTAGCCGAAGGGTTGTCGCCAGCGCAGAATCCTCCATGCCGCCAGCAGTGTACAATCGTCTCCTTCGTCACTGACTCCCAGGCTGATCTTGCAAACTGCAAGCAGTGCAGCATATTGATGTTTTTTTTTTTTTTTTTTTTTTAATGGTGTTGGTGTCCAAGACAGGCAGAGCAGGATTATCGATGAAGGATGACACCTTGCACAGCATCTGCTTCCTGTAACAACTCTTGAAGGCTTTGATGACCCCAGCGCCACATGGCTGTATGGTGGGCGTGGTATTGGGAGGGAGGAATACCAACGACACGAAGTCCAACCTGTCCTTCACAGCGTCGCACTTGTGGGCAGGACAGTTGTCGACCAACAGAACGATCTTCTTCCCCTCACGCGTGAAGTGGCGATTTACATCTAGAAGCCATTCGCAGAACACTTCGCTGTTCATCCAGCCTTTGTTGTTCCTGGTCCATCGTCCCCCTAACGCAGTGGCAGGGGTGGTGTTCGCAGCAGCTACAGCACGGTGACGGGGCAAACGGGAAGTGCCTATGCCATGCACTGGAAGGACACTGCCATCCATGCAAACGCAGGTGGCGAACGTGACACGATCCTTCTGGGTCTTACTGCCCTTCACTTTTTCGTCCTCTTTTGCCGAAGTGCGATTCGGCAGGGCACGCCGGAACAAACCAGTCTCGTCCATGTTCCATACACGGCTCGGATCGCTGTCCACGGAACGAAACAATTCTAGCCCAACTTTCCCCATGAACTCCTTCTCTCCTTCGACATCAGTATCACCAGACTCGCTGTGCGACTTTATCCCTCGTCGATGCAAGGAGCTCTGACCATGGTACTTCCATGCCGTGTCCGTGTCTGGAAAGTCGGATTCAGAGGCAAATCCAGATGTTTTCGGCGCCACGTTTCGCCCAAAAGCTCTCCCTGCAAGTTCCTCTGGAAGGCATCCTCCTCAAAATGTGGCGAGCGAATTACAGAACTCTCCTCAGACTTAGGTGGCAAATTCTCGTGGTGAATCGCTGCAACCCCTTCCGCTCGGAGAGCTTTATTCCGCGAAATACGATGCACCGTGGTCCCAGGGGGCTTGCCAGACTGGTTAGAGCAGCCGACAGCACAGCAAACTGGCATCGTGGCTGAAGCTGTTCAGGTCACAAGAAAGAAACTCCACGAACGCCACTCTTTCTCGCTCACTGACAAGCAAGCAGGCCGGGAACCTGTATCTCTTTGACGTCACAGGGTGTGGAGGGGGTGTGCGCCGGCCGCATGACGTCATGGTAAATTTCAAACACAAAAATCTCCAGAACGGCGTATCACACGGCGATGGTACCTTCATCATCGAATTCAGCGCCTCGAAATCTACAAACTGCGAAATTTTGATTTTAGGGTGAACTTCCCCTTTAAAGTGAGTAAATAAGTGTGTGGATTCTTATCAACCACCACACCACACAGCTGCGCTTTCCGGCCGACCTCAACACGTTGCCAGCAAAACGACACTTCAGTTGGTACTCTGCTGCTGTCTGAAGGAGCAGAGTACCAACTGAAGTGTCGTTTTGCTGATGGTGTGCTGTGGCAACGTGTTGAGGTCGGCCGGAAAGCGCAGCGGTGTGGTGTGGTGGGTTGAGGTCGGCCGGAGAGCGCAGCGGTGTGGTGTGGTGGTTGATAAGAATCTGGACAAGGCCGAATGCTGCTACTTACCCGTTTTGATCAAATAAGTGTGTGTATGTAAGTAAGTGAGTAAAGTGTGTGTATATGTATGTATGGACGTATGTATGTGTATGTGTATATATATGTGTGTGTGTGTATATATATGTGTGTGTGTGTGTGTGTGTGTGTGTGTGTGTGTGTGTGCGCGCGCACGCATTTGTGCGTGTGTGTGTGCATATCCGTCTGTGTGTTCACTCCAGGTTGAGCAGCGTTGGCTGGCCGGTGTTTCTTCACTGGGCCTGGTCTCCACACCGGTGTACGACGGCGACCAGACATCAACGCCATGGCTACAAGCGGCCGTGCACGAGCATGAAGCGCTCATCACTGGTTGGCAACGCGTGGCCATCAGAGTCATCGTCAAGCCAAACAGGTACCGTGGAAAATTGGTGTGGTAGATAAATGAAATACTAGTGTTGCAAGACCATCTCTGAGTTTTGTGATGTACATGTATGCCCCCGGTTTGGTGTGATTTACCCCTGGTTTGGTGTGATTTACCCCTGGTTTGGTGTGATTTACCCCTGGTTTGGTGTGATTTACCCCTGGTTTGGTGTGATTTACCCCTGGTTTGGTGTGATTTACCCTGGTTTTGTGTGATTACCCCTGGTTTGGTGTGATTTACCGCTGGTTTGGTGTGATTTTCCCTGTGGTTTGTTATGGTTCATTATAAGAGCCTTTTGGGCAGGGTGAGTGGGGGAGGGGAGCGATAAAATAGGGAGGGTTAGTCCCACGTAACGGATACGGGAACGTGGGTGATACACCTAAAGTTCCTGCAATGGACCCACGTTTGCAATGTTGTGTTTAGTCGCACGGAACAAACAAAAGCATGAAGCGAAAGGCCCAAACCTGGTCAAAGACGAAGCTTAGAAGCTCATCGAATATTTTGATTTTGTGCTTCGGAAACTTCTTCAGCTGAGCACCCTCACAGCTCGCACAATGCGCTTTATTCTGATTTTCACCCACGTTCTGGCGGAACGTGGGTGAGCCTCCATACACGGTATGTCGTGGATCAGAAAACGTCTGTACGTGGGTCACTAAGTATCACGTGGTACACACACGTAAAGTACACACGGATTACGTGGGACTGAACCTCCCTAATCTAGATGTATACCCGCTCACACAAATCTGAACCTTGAATCGGACGTAACTTTGGTTCGCATTGGACAATTTCCACGATGCGTGTAAAATCGGATGTGTGGTGGTTGGTGTAGGACTGAAAAGTTGAGCCAGTGGGTTGAGCGCTGAATTCATTGCCTCCCATTTGTTCTACCTAATACTAGTACACTATCTGCAAAGTACACTGAAGAGACCAACGATGGCCTTTCAGCGCATGACAAGCAGCTTCCAAGGGAGATGGTGGAGTGGGTGGGGCGTACCAAACTCTGCCGGCCATGCTGGTATCGGTATCACTGTTGTATGTGTGCGCCAGGGGAGCAGAAGAAAAGACCAGAGAGCACAGGTAAGGAAAGAAAAGAAGAGAAAGATGCTGTTACGGGAGGAGCGCATGTGAGCTTGGCGATGAAAAAGAAAAAAAAGAAAAAAGAAAAAAACCTAATGCACTGTACAGGTCTACTCTTATAACGTAATCTCTGGGACCACGCAAAAATTATGTTATATCGAGAGTTATGTTATGTAGAAAACCGTGTGTAAAATACAAGATGTACCTCAAAATGAAGGGTATTACAAGGCGGGTTTAACCGTGCAAACATATACACACTGTACCATCATCGACATCAGATACCATCATAGCCGCAGAATATATGCACAATAGGACCAAACTGGCTAACGGCGGCTACAGCTTGATTGTACCACGCACGTGAATCTACTTTGTATGGAGAGTGCGCACGTCGGCGACCTCGCCGTTGAGTGCATTATGCCGAGGTTTACGTTATGTAGGACTAAACTGGCCTTAACTGCCTAGCTACAGCTATAACGCTTGATCGTACCGTGCACCGAATTTACGTTGTATCGAGAGTGCGCATGTTGGGGACCGCGCCGCAGCGTGTGTTATGTCGAGGTTTATGCTATGTAGGATTATGTTGTGTAGAACAAAATTTGTATGGGAGTGATGCTGTTTCGGCGCGGGATTAGATTTTTTTTACGTACTAGCGTGGTTTATGTACAAGTGAGAGTTGTTACATGTCTATCGAGAGCAGACCTGTATTAGGAAATTAGAGGCCACATGCCTCGTACTGCTCTTTACTCTTAGTACACTGTTGTTGGATATATGATGTGACGAAGTTAGTGGACAAGGAGCAGAAGCTGGGCAAGAGATGAACAGTTAAGGGGTACTATGAGTGGTTGTATACAGTAGGGAGTCTTTGAAATCACGGATGGGGGGGGGGGGCAGAAACCAGAAAGAGAAAAGAGAACAAGGACAGTGAAGCTTGGTGAGCAGATTACTTGTAAACTTTGACTGGAGTTCACCGGTTGTCGTCCGAATTATTACTCTGATCAGGACAACGGTTTGAGTGTGAATTTCGTCTTCGTTACTATTGCTATAATGGTGTGTGTGTGTGTGTGTGTGTGTGTGTGTGTGTGTGTGTGTGTGTGTGTGTGTGTGTGTGTCTGTATGTCGCCTTTCAGTGGAGAAGCCGGCCATGATGTTGGACGAGCACCAGTGGCGGCGGCTAGAGTCCTGGTGCCGCCGTGCAATCCGCAGCTCACCAGCAGTGTGGTGGTGATGTCGGAGAGCGGCGGTGGTGGTGGTGGTGGTGGTGGTGGTGGTGGCGGCGGTGGTGGTGGTGGTGGTGGTACGGAGCAGGCGCACTACGCCGAGGGCCTAAGCTGGCTGGCGGCGCACGTGCAGCACTGCCAGGCGGCCATCACCACCGGTCTGATGGCCACCAACGGCGAAGTCATGACGCAGCCGTCACCCCTGGCTACCACCGTGACGACGGTGAGTGGAACGTCATGGTGATGTCATGGTGATGTAATGGTGATGTCGTGTATGTACATGTAATTCGAATCCTTGAACAAGGCCAAGCGTTAATGAACAGAGGAAAGCCAACATTGATGATCAGACCGAACAAGGCTTTGTGATTTGTCGTTTTTGTGAAATAAATTTCGAGCGATTGAAGGCGTCCTTTCCTACTGCTTTCCCTCCGGAACTTGTGGACTTAACTCCAGTATGAAATAGTGGTAGCGACTTTGGCGACATTTCCTAGGAAAGGGTGTCTAGGGTCTAGTCAAGTCGGCGGAAAAGCGCGAGCTCCAGTGTGGGGAGCAAACCCTTCTCCCCTGGCTACGACCGCGTTGACTGGGAGTAGAGGTTGGTGGACTGGATTCCAGTGCGAAATAGTGGAAGCGACTTCGGCCATAATTTCGTAGGAAAGGTTGTCAAGGGTCATGCGCTTGTACTTGTACTTCAACGTATAACGGTCATGCATGACATGTGCCTGCTTCCAGCTAGCTTTGTGTGCGTGTGTGCGTGCACGCTTGTGTGTGCGTGTCTGTGTGCATGTATGCGTGCATATACGTTTGCTCTGTTTCCTCTGATGTAATAGTCTTTGTGCTTGTGTGTGTGTGTATGTGTGTGTGTGTGTGTGTGTGTGTGTGTGTGTGTGTGTGTGTGTGTGCACACGTGTGCGTGCATGGGTGTCTATGCGCATGCCTTTCCGTTCTGCTCCATCCCCCCCCCCCCCCCCGCCGTACTAGTCGTTTGTGCAGCAAGTACTCGACCAGCTCTACGGCGGTGTTAAGCTGCATAATCTGGAGCACGGCCACTTGCCCAGGTTCACGCCGGCGCACACAGAAGCCTACGCATGTCACCCGGGTCTCTTGCCCGTGCTCGGTGCGCTGGAGTCGAAGACGGCGTTCTACGTTCTGCATGCTTCGCCGCCGGCCTCGCTGCGCCAGGCCGTGGCGTACAGTCCGGCGTTTCTGACCGCGTCGACGTCGCGCCCCATGTTCATCCTCTACCAGCTGCTGCAGGTCATGGCCGAGTGTCACATGGCTGGTGTAACGCACGGCAGCCTGGACGCGGAGAGCGTGCTCGTCGACTCCGACCTGTGGGTGCAGCTCTACCTCTTACGCTTCGGCATGCGTTTCCACCGCTCCACTGCATCGTCCTCCTCTGCCGTCATCATGCCCGGTGCCGATGCTGCAACACCGATAGCTCAACCCCACCGCCGGGATGATGTTGGGTCTCCGTTGGCGAGTCGGATTCTCGGGTCGCCTACATCGTCGTCGTCCGCTTGCCTTTCTCAGCTGCTGCAGGAATGGGTCGACGGGCACCTGAGCAACTTTGACTACTTGATGGCGCTGAACAAGTTCGCTGGTCGTTGCAAAGGCAATCCCAATCAGCATCCGGTTCTGCCGTGGGTGGTGGATTTCACCGAACAGGACGGCGGCTGGAGAGATCTGAAACAGTCCAAGTTCCGATTGAACAAGGGCGACGACCAGCTGGATTTCACGTTCAAGGCGCAGCTGCCCCCGCTGGGTAGCAGCATGTCAGCGGCGTCGGTGTCATCACTACCACCGCACCACGTATCCGATATCCTCTCTGACATTACCTACTACGTATACCTGGCACGGCGCATGCCACGCTCTCTGCTCTGCCGCTACGTTCGCTCCAAGTGGGTGCCGCACGAGTACCCTACCAGCATGCACCGCATGATGCTCTGGACGCCCGACGAGTGCATACCAGAGCTGTACACCGACGCGTCCGTCTTTCGCAGCATCCACGACGACCTGCCCGACCTGGACTTGCCGGCGTGGACGCCGAGCGCCGACGAGTTTGTCGAGTGGCACCGCGGCATGCTGGAGTCCGACCGGGTATCGCAGTACCTGCACCACTGGATCGACCTGACGTTTGGCTATCAGCTGTCGGGCCGGCACGCCGAGAAGAGCAAGAACGTGTGCCTGCAGCTGGTGCAGACGCACGACAAGCCGATGAACCACGGCGTGACACAGCTGTTCCGACGCCCGCACCCACAACGGCGAATGGCCACCGTGGCGTCGACCGACAGCGTGCCGGATGCCTCGGTCTTGTTCACTGACGACAGTGGTGCAGTGCCGGGCACACCGATCCCCGGTACGAAATATGCCATACACTCGTCATCCACAATGCAGTTAATGGACTCGCCTTCTAAGAGTCGCTCACCGTGGGGCGTCATATCCGCACTATCGCATTCGCCACCGGAAGCAGACTTGACCGGCGCAGGCATGGCAGCATCTGGCACTCGTCAAGAGCTCGACTCTGTTCAGCGGGCTTCCTCGTCGACGTCAATACTCACAATGCCGCGGCTCGATTTCAACGCCGCGGTTGCGGCCGGTGGAGCGGCTTCTGAGGTGGAGGCGGTCGGTGTGTCGGCCATCGAGTCTACCGGGCCGTGGCCGTCTTCGGTTGTGAACGATGCCGCGGCCACTTCTGCCGGTGCATCCTTCTCTGCCGTGTCTTCTTCGGTGAGCAGCGCGGTGATGGTAGATATGAGCGATTGCGATGGCAGCAAGGAGGACTCTGTCCAGTTTGAGGTGGAGTACCCGTCAACGCAGGTCTTTGAGCTGAAGTCGCGCAGCAAGCCGCCGCCACCCAAGAAAGACGACAAACAGGTAGCAGCGGCACCAGCGGCAGTAACATCGGTGCCGGCAGGAGCCATGGCGAAGGCTGATGTGGGGGACAGTGCACTGCAGCCACCGGGTGCTGTTGGTGTGGCGGCAGCGGTTAAGGACATGGCAGCAGACCCTACCTCTCTAGCCACTGCACAACCAATGATCAGCGAGGATCTGCAGAAAAGCAGTCGACCGGAAAAGCCCGCTTTCTTTGCCCAGTCAACGTCGATTCCGGCCGCCGCCAGCAGGCCGCTTGGTCTGTTTGCAGCGAAACCTACGAAGGAAGGCGGACAGCCTGAGTGTCTCACCAAGCCCATCGTCCTACCGGAGTCGTTCCAGCCACTCGAGATGCTGGAGTCCGTGGACAGCCTGCACGTGTTTCTGACGGAATGCCAGACGCCTGGCGGTGGTGACCAGGCACACTCGAATGCAGCGCTGGACAAACAGGAGAACAAGCGGCGACGATGGCCGCTTACTTCCAGTACAGAAGTAAGGAAACGGATTGTTTGAGTGATTTTTTTTATTTAAGGTAGGGCGTAGCCAGCACATATGTGGTGTGGTGACTATGTATCAGTGGTGACCATGTAACATCTGCAAACTCATAGCCGACATTTTGCCTATTTTGAGTAGCTAGTACGTAGGACTAGGTCATTTGCTGGTGTGGTGACGGGACTATGCTGACTATGCACGAGCGACACACCTGTAAGGATTGTCCAACGGCCGGGGGAGCCTATCCAGGGGCTCTCCGGTGGAAGGAGAGATGAGGAAGAGAGGAAAGGGGAATGAGTTACAGCAGGCTGCTACACAATCATTCTTCACGTTTCCCGTAAGGTACTCGGTGGTATAGAGAGCAAGGCAGGGCTTGATTGCAAATGCATCGAAAAAATCAAGTGAAGGCCAGAAGGGGGGCGGGAGACGGTTTGATATTTTAGTTTAACAATGCATGTACCTTGTGGAAAAGACTGGAGTTTAGTATGCTATTTTGCCATGATGGAAACACAACGAGTGTGTAGTTGCATACTCGGCAAGCGTGGGGAACACCAATTATGCTGTTTACTGTGTACATATTCTGTTGCAATGCATCCATGATGCATTGAATGCTGCTGTCTCTTGTATACACTTATGCTTCCTGCTATACCGACGAATAAGCGACGAGGAGACAACAGCGATGAGCAATATTTTGTGAGGCGGACATTGAAAAAAGGGAATATAGTGAATATGCTGTTGCAAATTTTCCTAATCAATTTTCATGAGACGCTCATCAGGGAAAGCCATCTCAACAATAGAAGCTAGGCAGGGGAAACAAACTTATTAGCCTAGGGAATACTACCTGCTATTCTGTATTAACCCCCCCCCCCCCCCCCCCGTCCTCTGATTTTTGTAGTGTTTTGGTACCGCATTTCCTGGCCGGGGATACCCCTCACGTAAAGTGCATACATCACCAACCTGATTGTTTACAGTGCTATGATGTTCAGGGTGTGAGTTTTTTGTTCTCTCCCCCCCCCCCCCCCCCCTCCCTCCCTGAATGCAGGCGGAGGTACCGTTACCTGTTGTCGCTGAGCCGTCCTCGTTTGTGGAGAGAGCACGTCATGACATGCAGAGTCTGGCGTGCGTAGCCGTGCAAATGCTGATCCCTGGCATGCGTGCCATGCTACTGGGCGAGGCCAGCCTGGAGAGGAAGATTGAAATCATCCGACGTGCTGCTGACGGACGCCTGTCCACTTTGCCCAGGTACAGGTGTAGCCGCTGTGTACGTCTTGGTGCCTCTGCTGCTGCTGCTGCTGTTGCTGTTGTTGCTGGTGCTGGTGGTGGTGCTGCTGCTGCTGGTATTGCTGCTGGTGCTGGTGCTACTGCTGCTGCTGCTACTGTTGGTGCGGCTACTGCTACTACTGCTGCTGCTGCTGTTGCCGTTGGTGCGGTTACTGCTACTGCTGCTTCCGCTGCTGCTGCCGTTGCTGTTGCCATTGCTGCTGGCGCTGCTGCTGCCATTATGACTGACGATGTTCTTGCTTTTAGTTGAAATTGAAAAACTAACACTATACAGCCATGAGTGAGTGAGTGTGTGCGTGCGTGTGTGTGTGTGTGTGTGTGTGTGCGTGGCGGGGTGAGCATTTGTATGTGTGCTTGTGCGTGCATGTGTGTACATGCGGGTGTGCGTGCAGGTGCGAGTGTTTGCGCGTGCGGATACGGTGTTGTCATTAGAAAACAATCACCGCTGCCACCTTCAGGACTAGACTTGTGCAGTACAGTCAGTGTGTGATTTGAAGTAGAAGCTCACTAACCTTTATGTGCACACATGCTTAGCGCAGTGAAGTCAATTCTCACAGGGATGAACTGCTTGCTCCATTTTCATCCTGTGCTTATCCTTAACTCTGCCTCTTTTCCTGTGTGCGTGTGCGTGCTTGAACTTGTGTGTGCGTATGCGTGCTTGAACTTGTGTGTGTGTGTGTGTGTGTGTGTGTGTGTGTGTGTATGCGTGCTTGAACTCGTGTGTCTGTGTGTATGCATGCTTTAACTTGTGTGTGCGTGTGTGTTAATACGTGCTTGAACTTGCGTTCTTTTCTGCGCATGCCGTGTTGTCCTATCCTCATCGGCGTGTGCCACTACTTTAGTTGCATTCGTCACGCGGTGACGGCGTTGCTGGGACTGAGGCAGGTGGACGTGGCCTACGTGCCCGACTTGCACCACGGCACAGTGCTGGCTCACGCGCCCGGCCCGCAGCTCTCGCCGCTCTTCTCGTTCTTCCAGTTCCCGGCGTACTTCCACCGCCTGTACGCCTTCCTGCGCCTGCTGAAGCAGTGGAAAGCGCAGCCGGGTGGTTGTCACTCGCCCAGCGGCGGCATGGCCAGTCCGGTGCTGTCCGCTACTGACAATCTCATGATGACCATGCAGGTAGGATGGTCACCGAGCAGCGTGGACGATGAGGGTGCCGATGATGCCGCCGCGAGTGCGAGCGGCCGACACGCGTCGCCGCGCTCGCAGCTGATCAACATGGTATCGCAGCACCTGCCTCAGCTGCTGCCCATTCTGGATGCGGAGGCGTTCACCACGCTGCTCCTGCCACACCTCATGCCACTCTTCTCCGGCGCTCATCACTCGGCCAAGGTGGCCGCCGAGGCCATGTTCCGCCTGTTCGACATTCTGGCACGGCGACTTGGCCCCGCGCAGACCTCGCGCTTCTTCCTCAAGCCGCTCTTCAGCCTGTTTGAGCTGATGCTGCACCCGCAGGCCGCCGATGTGGAGCGCAGTCTTGCTCTCCTGCTCAACACGAGCTTTCTCAACCAGGTATGGCGCAGCAGGGGCGTATCTGGTCCCCCTTTTAGGAGAGGGGGGGGGGGGGGGGGGAGGGAGGTGCATGGCCGCGTATGTGTATGATGGCTGGTGTGTGTCATTCATGGTCATTATGTGCATGTTTATCTAGGTTGTGATGATATTGGAATTATATCATTTGGTGCCATTAAATATCCCTATATATATAACTATAACCTTCACATCCTCATATTTACACCTGTCCGTATATGACATTAGAATTACATGCTGCGTACTACTGACATGTTTAGGGGGGGTATGTGTGTGTGAGGGCTAGTGTTTTACGTGTGTGTTTGTTTGTGTGTGTGTGTGTGTTTGTTTGTTTGTTTGTTTGTTTGTGTGTGTATACCTGTATACTTGTGTGTTATGTTGCATGTGGTACAGGTCGTGAATCGCTTTGGTCTTATGCCGTTCCTGGACCACTTTGTTCCAATCTTGATCAACATCGTCACTGTACCGTTGGTCAAGAAGCCCGAGACAGCGGACGCGGGAGGAACCGACGTCGACACGAGGAACACGAGCTCGGACGAGCAGTCACCTGCTTCCGATCTGCCCGTGGTGGTCAAGTCGCCGTTTGTACAGCTCTGTGCGGATGCCCTTCTCTGGCTCTCGCAGTTACTGGGTCCAATGCTGGCCACAAATCATGTATGCCACGCGCTAATGAGCCAACTCTACCAATGCTTCCCGCTCACTGCCGACGTGGCAACGTCCGGTCGCTATAGCAACCGCTATGCCCTGTCGGCCGTGCAGTGTCTGGTGAACATTGTCATTCTGTTTGGCGAGCCGTTGCTGCTGGATGATTATATCAAACGACTGCTCGACATGGTCAGTGGTCCAGTGTAGGCCCTGACACTGTGCTGTGTATGTGTATGTGTGCGTGCGTGCGCGTGCGTGCGCGTGCGAGTGTGTGTGTGTGTGTGTGTGTGTGTGTGTGTGTGTGTGCGTGTGTGCGTGTGCGCATGTGTGCGCGCATGTGTGTGTGTAAAAAATAAAACATCCTGTGTCTATAACTGACGAGGAGACAACAGCCGTAAAATAGCAAGGAATAAAACTAATTGTGCACTCATAACCATGCATAAAACAATAATATTAAAATGAAAAAATTCCAGAACGTTTTCTCGTGACCATCTTCTAGCTACATATATAACTAGTTGTTTAGTGATTCTAACCATGTGACGATGTTTTACTGATGATAGTCCCGAGAAATGTCCTGTGTCTATATATATGTGTGTGTCTACAGGTGCGTTATAGCACCGGTGGTGTGTTGACAATCAAGGAGCAGCAGCGTATCGCCGCCGCTCTCTCCTTCTTCAGAACTCTCCTGCCGCTCATGTCCCAGCACGTGCTGCTCAACTGCTTTGAAGTGAGTCTGCCGAGCATGCACGCGTTGTCCTCACTTTCCAGTCATCTCAACTGTGTGCCTGCCGCTGCACAGAAGGGCAGGGCAAGGTGGGGTAAAAGAGCAGGGCAGGGCAGGGCGAGGGGGTAAAAGAGCAGGGCAGGGCAGGGTTGGGCTATTATTACATGTCTGTATCAGGCTGTGCATTGCGTACTTTCAAGTCTGCTGGGATGCTGGAGATGGTGAACCTGGTGAACCGGGAGTCAGGAGATTTCTTTTGCTGATGTCATCAGCTGCTTGCTGGTGATGTCAGATTTTTATTATGATGTCAGATCTATGTAATGATGTCATAATGTCTCATCACACTTTGATGTGCTGCCTTTGTCCTGTGTGTGTGTGTGTGCGTGTGTGCGTGTGTGTGTGTGCATGCGTGTGTGCGTGTGTGTATATGGATGTGCATGCTTGCTGCATGTAGAAATTCCACCAGTCTCTGTTCTACCCGACCATCAAGCTCCTCTCGTCCACCGTGCACTGCTTTCCCGGCGGCGTGGTGGCGCGCTCCGCCATCTGCCGTCTCCTCGTCGATACGCTGCTCGTGCTCGGCCATCGGCTCGGCCGCGACGAGGCACAGCACCTGCTGGAGTTCCCCCTGCAGCAGCTGTTCGCTTGCTTCGATCCGTTCGGGCCGCGCGCCTCGAAGGAAGCTGCCGAGGAGGCATCGCGCTCCGACAGCCCTGCGGCCGTGGGAGAGGAGGAAGTCCGTTTGCTATTTGTTCCGGCGCTGGCCCACTCGGCGTACGTACCGTTCTGTCAGCTGATTGGTCAGATTCGAATGCGCGAGCTTATCATTAACCATGAGCTTATTGAGCAGCTGGCGTACGACTGTGATACGCAGTCTGAGGCTAAGGTCAAGGTAAGGTAGTGTTTCACATGGTAGTGAGATATGATGTTCTTGTTGTGTGTGTGTAGGGTGTGTGTG